CCAGTCTCTAGAATCAAGAAAAAAAAACAACTTCATGAATGCACCTGCTTTTTAGAATTATAAAGAAGGAAAGTGATTTAAATTAAAAGATCCACAAATTCTGGTTCTTCTCTGAGAACTGGCAGAGCTAATTATTGATAAAATGCTTAATCATAAATGCACCTGCTTGCTAATACTGGACCAAGGTCTGCATCAAGTTCAGTTCCGCAGTTACTTTGAGTGCTTTGGCACTTCCACTAGTTTATCTTCCCTGCAAAAAGGTTATAAAAAACACTTATACTAGCCAAATCATGTCTATCATTGAATTCCCATAGAAAATATATCATCAATGATTTAGGGTCTAGACCTGATTCCTTTCAAATCTAAAAACATCATTTTTCAAGGACGACAAAACCACAAGACAACTGATACAACACGCGAAGTGCTGGTGTATAACAAGAGGCGTGGGAAGAAGCACAGGGATCAATAGCGTTAAAGGAAGCAGCTAAAGTGTGAATTAAGGTAGGGGACAGGTGGCGAAAGATATGGTGGAGGGATAAATTCTGTTAGAAAGAAATGAATAAAGGAAGCAGCAGAGGAGGAAATGATTATCAAAAACAAAGAAAGTTAGGAAAAACACTTAACAAGAAGACAAATATACCATGGAGTTAAGCTTCCAACAAAGACAACAGTGCTGAGTGCCATGCACTTTTTGGTCCCTGCACCACCAAACCCAGCAGCAACTAGGGCATTCAAAGTAGCATCCATACTTGCATCAGGCATGACAACTGCATGATTTTTGGAACCAATATTGCACTGAAGAAAACAATAAGCTAGTCAATTCTAGTTTATATTAATTATTGCACAGGTAAAATAGTAGACATATTGCTCATAAAAGCTACAAAACGTACCTGAATCCGCTTCCCCTTAGCTGATGCTTTTGCATAAACATTGGCACCATCCTTTAAGGACCAAAAAAAAATATATATATATATAAGTGATGATACAAGTAGCACAAGAATCCTGAGAGGTTTTTGAATGTGATTTCAATGATAGAAGATTTTTGTAAAAATCCTGAGAAGAAAATGTTTACAAGAATTAACAAAGTAATGACACAAGAAGAACAACCATTTCATGTCAATTCAAGTTTGTACGTATATTCTTCAATCATGGAAAATAAACAGTATCATAAATTTAAACTTGAAAATTTAATTTTCATATACTAAAGAAGCAAGCAAAGTATTAAACGACATTTTCATGAGAAAATATCGATTGGCATTTGTTTGTGTTTGTAATCTAACAAGAAGTCATTCTATAATGTTGAACATAAATTTGGTGACTGCATCTGAATATTCAAATGTTGGAAACTTTTGGCACATACTAGGTCTACCATATGAAAGCTATAGGCCAAGGACTACAGAAAGACAACTTGCCAAACCAAAAAAAATATATATCACTAATATTTACAGGTTGATACATTTTCACGGTCCAAAAGTTTACACTGAAGGTTCACAAGAAGTTGTCCATTCCTCCATCTAAAAAGCTTTATGCTCTGCATCACACTCTGAAGAATAACACGATGTCCAGTCATTTATCATTGCATTAGGTCTTTGGCAATCTGCATCTATGGCAAACTCATAATCAAGTATTCTACTTAAATACCCCATATGTTCTATTCAGTCTTTCACCAAATTTCTGATGAATACTGGTTCTGTAAACAACCCACACTCACCACCTTCACTCACACACAGCAATCCAACTAACAGTCAAACCAAGCAATAAACTAAGAATAATGGAAAAAACAATCAATGGAAAATGAAGATAATACTGATATTCAATAAAACAGTAAATAATAGTGATATTCAATGAAACAGTAAATCAAACAAAGCAAAAAAGAACAGCTGGACTTCAAGGGCCAGAACCTCCCAGACAAACACTCATAAATTTCAGAATACCCTTTTCACACTCACGTCCCTCTTTTTATTCCTGACACTCTCAGATTCTACTAACCAATTCTGCCACCTGTTAATCTTAGTAATTGCCCCTTTTTACCCCTTTCTTTTATACCATTGAGACACCTTGGGTCCATCAATTTCATCCACAAATGATGTAAATCAATGGAACTCAATCATTAGAGAACTTATCAACACTGGGCTGTCTTTTTTACTCCAAAATGAGAAATGAAGTCTCTCACTTGATAAGCATACTTTTCCTTCAATCAAAAATGGGTATACCAAGTTACTTGATCATGAGCTTAAGAAAGTTATCCAAGACCATGTTTCGCACATGGATTTCCTATTAATTGTGAACTGGCAGACCTTCAGTTGATAACTATGTGAGACTTTGTGATTTAAGTAAACCATACAAATGTTTGGAAAAGCTTAAAAATGATGTGATGTTGAACTTAAAAGACTCCATTCTTTTCCAATCTATTGAACTCTGTACTCTCATCCTCAATTGTCTTTCAAGTAACCAATACTGTGTTTTCTCTCCCTGTCGAAAACCCCTTACTACCAAACATGTCTGGGGCGGATATGGTTTCACTATGCAGTTCTTCATTGCATGTGTTTTTTCTTTTTTCGGCTTTTGTCAAGTCTTTTTTGTTTTTTTAATTCATTTTTATGTTTATTTTTTTGCTTGTTTTGTCAGCTTGACATTCCAATGTCGTGTAAGCAAACAATTGCCAAAAATGTTATGCCCTCATTTACCATGAATTGTTATGGTTGTTAACTCCTTGATCCACATGAACTAAATGAACTGCTTATAAAGGATTTAATTGAACCAATTGAAACTTCAATAACCAAACCAAAATTTGAATAAACTTGGAGGACCAAGAAATATTTTTACTCAGAAAACACAAATTTTCATTTTTGTTATCAAATCCACTGCAGATTGTATAACATTTGAAACAGTAAGTGAAAAATGATGAAGTAACTTACAGAATTTGGACCGAAAAATGATATGGCTTTAATATCGTCATCATCACAAATAGCATTAACAATCTCCTGCTCAAGACCAAAGTTTGAAATCAAAAAATTAAAGAATGGAAAAGGAAAAATCCATAGAGATGCAGCAGATATCAGAAACATCAAAGCCTAGTTTATGTTGAGCTAAAAACTAATACGTCGACAAGTGAATACATTAAGGCACATTATAGAATAAACAGAAATTAATTTTATTTGTGATATGTTAAGCTTCTAAAATCCACTAACATGTACATAAATTCTCTTTAAAAAGTTTGTCAAATTTTTGTCAAGCAATGCCTCATGTAAAGAGTTTCATTTCTTAATTGAAAACATGTGAATGTCTACAGGAGAGAATATATATATTGCATATGGACCTCAAACACAAACTTGAAGTGTAGACCTCTCTTTTCAAACTGGAAATCTAAGTTGCATCACAGAATTTAAGCACAAAGGCTATATANCCCTGTGTTTACAAGAAAGTGAGTGAGAGCGCAGTAGCATTCCTAGTGTTGTATGTCGATGACATACTTCTGATAGAGAATGATATACCGAACTTGCAGTCGGTAAAAACTTGGTTATCCAAGTGCTTCTCCATGAAGGACTTAGGGGAAGCAGCCTACATCCTTGGTATAAAGATCTATCGTGATAGATCGCGTAGTTTGCTTGGCCTAAGTCAGAGTACATGTATTATCTCGTCAGGCCCAAGATGATTTTTGGCCCTAACACTTATCAATAATTTGCTTGAGATTTCCTTCAATCTGTGCTTCACTAAAGAGCCAAAGGACCCTCAAGGTTAATAATCTATGGTTCTTACATTTACACTATTAACATTACATTAGTGTCAACATAATACAATTTAAAGACTAAAAAAAGGGATAAAGTGATGAACCTTGAACCAACTCTTCTCAGTTAATCACAATTTGTTGATACCAGTCATCAGTTTCGATATCTGATCATGTGTCTCTTCTTGTGGTTTGTGTGGGGAAGTACCAAAATACTACAAACTTTTGAAGAGATTTTGAAGATGTGTCTTTTCTTGTTAAAGATTGGAAGCCTCTGTATTTGATGTTCTGCCTTCATTCCAAGCAATCATATAATGGAATTGGTGGAGGTTCAAGTGATGTTTGGAACCAGATTGGTCTTTACTTGTAAATTTCCAGATGATTCGTAGTTAGCAACCACTCAAAACTGATTGAGATGTGTACATAAAATAAATAGTGTTTTATGATTATCAATGTGAACGAGGATTGCAGGTAGTTTGCAACCACTAAATATTTATTATGTTGTTTTCTTACTCCAGTTTAGTTTATTATTAAGATGAAATTTTGCAATTTTAGTGAGATGTGTATATTTAGGTTGGGGACATAAGTTGTATGGTGTGGAAAAATATAAATTGTCGTGATTCGTTGCTATTTGATTAGTTAATGAAAATTTTGCAAGGTGGTGAGTATTTTATGTGAACCAAGAACCTAATTGCCCTAGAAGTTGTAGTTTGTTTGATTTTGGGGCCTTTTATAGAATTTTTTAGAGAATGTGGGGATTAGGGTTGTAAAATTATAGTATCACAACTTTTCAGTGTATGCCGTGAGGACTAGTGTAAGTTGACAACTGTTATTTTTATGTAAAATATATTTATGCCCATGATCGTGTTCAAGGTATCTGAATTCATTTCATTGTAATCACATAACATGTGAGACTCCGATTGATATGCCTGGTTTGCAATATTATGTACAGGAAAGTGGGATCGGGTATACTTGCCTGAAGATGAAGGCTCCTCATAATATATACAACAAATTGAGGACCAATTAAATACTGTCTTTGAGAAATGAGTAATGAAATGAACATGTTATAAGCATTTGTAAGGTACCCAGTATAAAAATACTGAACATTTTACAATTATAGAGTATACAAGTTTTGATGACAAAAAAAATATTGCTTTAGATTGCAGTATGTTCTACAGAAATGGCCGACGCAAACCCGTGTCGATACCAGGAACAAGACCGATGCATTCGACATCACTTTTCGATTTCTTTTGCATCTTCAATACATGTTTCGACAAGTTTCGGTAGCACTCAATGATACTAATGATAATATACCTGTAAACATACGATATTGTAAAGCATATTTCAATCCCAACACCCATTCCTAAAACAAATATTGGAAAACAAATTCAGATGAAACATTCAATGTATTTGTTTAAAGCTGGAGAAATTTGAGTTTGCGGCAAACTACTGATGATATCTTATTTCAAGTACTAAGATACAATTACTTTCTCGAATTTTTAATTCTCAAGCACAATGACGAAAATCTAGATAAAGCATAGGATTAATGTCAACGAAGTAATTAGATGTTGATATAAGCTTCATTTGGTACAGATATCTCTGCTAAGGTTTCAAGTACACATGGAAAGAATCTTAAAAATCATAAAAAAACTATTATTTCAAAAAGAACCGGCCTACAAATAGAGTACACATTACTGTACAAGAATCTTAAAATAAAATGCAAATAGGTGGGTTGGAATAACACAGCATACATAAATTGACATAATTAAATGGGTTGACAAATTTGTACAGCTAAGGTGGTACAGAAACTTAAAATAGCAATATTATCAAGTTACCAACAATCAATCCATCCGTCAATGTGAAGTCTGGGTTCGTCTTATGAATCTGCCGATACAGAATCTTCAGCTGAAACTCAGTAGAAGTCTTGGTAAAGAGAACTTTGGACTGAGTCATGTTTACACAGAATTCAGGAAACAGATAAATAGAATCCTACCATAGTTTATGCATATGAAAGGATGCTTTTTGTTATGAACATTATAGTTTATATAGTTTTGGATCATGGAAAACAATAATGGAAAAGAAAACAATGAATGAATGAGTGAATTATGTAACAACTTTACCTATTCAAGTTATTACTCTTATTACTATGAATTCCTCCTGAAATCGTGAAGACAGAAGTGTGAATTCCAAGCAGCCCAACTTAGGCTAACTTATTCATAATTAAAAAGAAAACAACAAAAATGCAAAGTTTTGTTCATGAAATAGTGCTACACTCATTCACAACAAATCTGGACATATCTGTTTAGCTAATTCTTCATCTTCCTACTGATCTCTCATCTTCGAACCATTTTTTGAAGTAAAAAAAAAATAGTAAATTAGGCCACAAGATTGCAAAAATTTCCACTAGAGATTTGGCCTTGCGGATTGACTAAGTTGGCACACAGGAAAAAAAAATGACCAAGGAGGAAAATTTTAGAACTTGTATTGTTAACTTTTAGATTCAATGGTCAAATTTCTCACATATAGAAATCCAAAGTGAGCCTACTATCCACGGGATTATCAACTATGTTCGCAGATGAACAACATATGGTATTCACGTTAAAATTTTAACAAAACATTGCATGAGGCAATTAACTTAATATTAAAAATAGAAGTTTAAAAATGAATCACATAAGAGTTCAGCTTTTTGATAGGAAAATTCGTGTTTTAGAGCAAGTAATAAAGAAATTTATCATATAAGACTACAACTCGGATGAACCAAATAGTCAAAGAAAAAATTATGTTGCAAAAGCTTTCTGAAATTTCACAATAACATGAAAAGTTGAAGGCAAGCCACAATACACACCAAGATTGGAAGCAAATTTTTGGGCACCTTTGAGACTAAAACTCATCAAAATCAAAGACTGGCTGCAACTCCACAGCATTGACACTTCGCTCTAAAAGATGAGGAATCATCAACAAAATTCAGATAAGATATTTCAGGAATATATGAAAATGCAATAATCACGGACTTCTGCAGATATTACTTCGATATATATCGGCAGGGAAAGAACATCAGCAATTGAAAATTTTGATGGTCAGTGGTTACTTGAACCGTCTACCAGCAATTGAAAATTTTACTGGAAGCTTGTAATTTTCTCCCCAATGAATGCAATAGAGAATATTGCTCTGAGGCAGATCCTACATTAACAGATGTATGTCAACAGCATTAACAATAAAACGTATTAACAGAACTGTTATTAGAATATTTTTCCATCTCTTTAAGAAAACATATTCAATTCAGTTTTAAAGAGAAAGATGGAGTAAATAAAGACATGAAAGAGCACATGATGTGACCAGATCAGACATTGAGAATTTGAGATAGACAACATTACTGTTCACCTTGGCAGATAACATGACCCAAGTTTTTATTCTTTTTATTTTTTATGAAACTAAAGGAAAAAGATATAAATGTGGACCAGCAGACTACAATGAAGACAAAATAGCATGACCTAATACTGGGTAATATCACTAATGTGGAACATATCAAACATGGAATGATGAATTTATAGAGATGCTTTTATGGCAAAATTGTAGTCCAACATTCCAAGATAAGTGCTTAATGAAATAATGCAGAATCTCGTGTTGAAGATATGATCAATGTCAGGGAAAGAGAAATCTACAATCCAAGTGTTTTAAGGTATCATCATTTTTTAGAGCTTCAAGCCACTATAAGTAAAGACATAACAGTCACCTGGATCCTTCTCTGACGGCTTTAAAATAAACGTATTACGACGTGACAGCAATAGGAAACATCTGTGTATAAAACAAAAATCAAATAAAACGAATAACATCTCTATGATTAAATCATCTTCCCTTCAGGAGCATATTAACAATGTAAGGTTTACCCTTACGCAACAATAAAAAGATTTGTATATTATAAACAATAGCTGAAAGATGAGAATACAAAGCTAACAAAATATGGCCACAACCACTATGCATTCTTCAATTATCACTGATTACAAGCAACACATGCAATTGCTTTCCTGAATTTTTCCCTACACAATATGATTGCTCTCATGTGCTCCCTAGACCAACACTATAGTGCAATTGAAGATTAAAAGGCCATAAAAGGTATGGCAAGCTTACCCATGAAGGGATCATAGCTGGAAAGTCAAAGTAGCAAATCCCACAACAAACACCAAGTGGCTCTCTAATACTATAGGAATCAATTCCGTTTGATACATTGGAAAAGTATTCCCCAATTTGCAGAGTTGCCAATCCACAAGCATGTTCAACTATCTGTACAAGGTATAATCAAACACTTCTTAAAGCACAACATTATCATCTGAAAATTTGTTCAAGTATTAGAAGAGAAACAAAGGCACTAACCAAGTCCATGCAGCAATTCATTGGGTGCATCCTCTAGTGTTTTTCCATGTCCAGTAGTAATGTTCATAGCAAGCTTATGCTAGGACCAATTTGTGAAGAATCAATTTACTCGTAAATTTAGGATACATAAAAATAAGATGAAGAAGTTTCAAAAATTTAACATGTCCGATAAGCTCTTGAAATTTGAACATGATGCGTTGACAAGTGGTAACTAGTGTATTTCTCCATGATGGAAAGGACTGGGAATCAACAGATCTACCTCCAATTAGATTGGGAACCCTCTGACATACGACATGAAGACAAATTCATTATAACTTCAAAGCAACGGAGATAAATAAATAAAACAATCCATTTTCTTTATTTGCTTCTTACCCCAAGTAGTTGGGATAGGCTTTGTTGATCTGAGTTGCGTTGGATTACATCTAAGCTTACCGGAGGGGTGAGTAGCCTCCAAGATGGCTCCATAACGGCTTGATAATTATTCCTTACAACAGACTTTTGAGGTCTTAATGACTTGAAATTTCTCACTGCAAAGAAAAATGTCATCCCCATTGTAAGGAAATTGGAAACTTGGTATAATGATTTTTTAAAAATTCTCAAGTAGACGGACGGGAAAGAGTAAAACTGATCATCACTCTCAGATCAATCAACTTTAATATGACAAAGTTGTAACACTTGTAATATATCTGTTTTCTTGGCGGGAACAACACTCTTCACTTCTGATAACTTCGCTCTCCAAAGACCATTATGAATACTCACTACTTGATCATCTTTAATATGGTAAAAAAAAAGCAACACTAAAACTAAAAAACTGCCCTTCGAAGGCATTGAGAATCTGATAACTCTGCTGTCAAATGACCATTCATCCTCCCTTAACAGCACATCATATGTCATTTGACAATTGAAGAGCTTCAGCTTATTCATAAATCAAATTTTCCAAAAATGAAGAACCACATATTATTGAAGACATCCAGCAATTAAGCATGACAATAATTACTGAATTCTATAATGGCACATTTTTATATCGATATTAGCAACAATTATTTAAATAAGCCTAGCAAATTGTTCTGCTTTCTTACATCAATATTGATAACAATAATCAAAATCAACCTAACAATAAATGATAAAATCCTGACGCATGGCAATGCTGGAGGCAACAGCTAGTGCCTGAAATTAAGATACTCCGAATTAACTTTGTCAATAGATTGAGCAGGCCACATGGACAATAATCCCAAACACATAAAACTCACAAAGAAATAAAAAGGCTCAACCCATCAGAAGAACGTATACTGAATCTGTGTTTGTGCCACACCAAATTGATTTTGCCAAATCAACAAAATTGACCACCAAAATCAAGGGTAGCTCAAAACGGTAACCCAACATCTTGATAGACGTTTCCCGTCAAGTAGAACTGACATGAGTACTAAACAATACCATTCTCTAAAATTAATAGAAAATAAAATAAGAATTCCACTAATCAATTCAGTATACTCGCAAAATGCAAACAGATGTATCAGAACAGCCATTCTCTAAAATTAATAGAAAATAAAGTTGAACGGGCAATTCTTACTGTGAAGCCTTTTTCTTTTCCCTCTTTTGTAGCCCAAACGTGATATTCTAGCCAGATCACAAAATGTCACAGCCAAAGGGAAGAAGTGAAGGAAGGTACGACTTATGAAGCAGGCCATCAAATTGCATTTTGTAAACGGGCACAATACACACCAAGATTGGCAGGAAATTTTTGGGCGCCTTTGAAACTAAAACTCATCAAAATCAAAGACTGGCAGCAACCTCCACAGCATTGACAGTTCGCTCTACAAGGTGTGGAATCGTCAAAAAATTTCAGAAATTAGGGTTGAGAGATGTTAACTTATATGTATGAAACAATTTCAAGTACCCCCCTAGGTAATTCCGTTGTTTCAAATAACCCCCTAGGGGGTTTGGATTGTCGGAAAATGTTCGGAAGGCGATAACTTTGCGATCCGACGTCCGATCGGGGTGTTTTTTTTTTTTAA